TTAACCTAATGAGCAGAACTTCAAGTTGTGAGGGACTTCCAGGAAGGCTCCTTGAAGGGAAATGAGTCCCTTTTGCTGCCCACTTCTCAGCTCCTGGAATGGAGACTAGATGGCCAGTGCTCAGCACCTATCCTATGAGGTGACCTTAAGGATGGAGCCAGATATTGAGAAGCAAAGAAGAGAAAGAAGGAACCTGGGTCCCTGATGTCTTAGAGACACTACACAGCTGCATGCTGAGTTGCATGCCTCTGGACTTCTTTAACATGTGAAACTAAGACTTTGTGTATTTAAGATACTTTTACTTATGCAGTCAAATGCCATCTTAACTGAAACACTATTGCTATTCAAATGGTACTAGAAGCTCTAAACCGGGCAAAAGACAAAATAATAATAATATAATAAATATGTAAGAATGGTTAAGAAACAAATCTATAATTATTCACATATGACTAAAAAACCTAAAAGAATTCTATAGAAAATGACTAGAAATAAGTTTAGCAGGACGGTCAGAAAAAAGGTCAAAGGCACTTCTGTGTACCAGTAACAGTTAAAAATCTTTAACTTAAACAGGATACCGTTTATACTAGCAACAACAACAAGGTAGCTAGGAATAAATCTAATCTAAAAGTCAAAACTTTTGACTTTTGTATAGAAAATTATGAAACTTTTTGGAAGGATGTTAATAAGATAAAATAGGTCAAGAAGAGTAAGTGTAGTTGTTCAGATGTTACTGCTGAAATCAATCCAAAGATTCAATGCAGTTGTGATCAAGTCTCAACAAGGTTTTTCATGGAACTCGTCAAGCTAAATTTATAGACAGTCACAAAGGGGCAAGAATAACAAAGTCATTCCTGAGGAACACAGCAAGAGAGAAAAAGTTGCCCCCTAGACATCAAAAATTATCATAAGGCCACAGTACTGGAGAGTGGTCCTTGTGCAGGGACAAACAAATAGACCAATGGAACAGACCTGGAGCCCAGGAACAGACTCACATATATACCAAAACCTAGGTGATACGGACAGTTGCTTGCAAATGGTGATGCAGTCAATAAAATGATGCTGGGACAACTAAAATGAAAACAAAAGAAAATGGATACCTACCTGACAACATGCATATAAACTAAATTCTAAATGATGGAGTATTTTTAAATATGAAAGGCAAAACTATTATTTTAAATATATAATGTTTTTAAGAGCTCGTTTTAAGAAAAGATTTTTTTAAATTAAAAAAATTTTTTTATTAACATATCATGTATTATTTGTTTCAGGGGTACAGGTCTGTGACTCATCAGTCTTACAAAATTCACAGCGCTCACCATAGCACATACCCTCCCCAATGTCCATCACTCAATCACCCCATCCCTCCCACCCCCCACCACTCCAGCAACCCTCAGTTTGTTTCCTGAGATTAAGAGTCTCTTATGGTTTGTCTCCCTCTCTGTTTTCGTCTTGTTTCATGTTTCCCTCCCTTCCCCTATGATCCTCTGTCTTGTTTCTCTAAATCCTCGTATCAGTGAGATCGTATGATACTTGTCTTCCTCTGATTGACTTATTTCGCTTAGCATAATACCCTCTAGTTCCATCCACATTGTTGCAAATGGCAAGATTTCATTTTTTGATGGCTGCATAATACTCCATTGTGTGTGTGTATATATATATACCACATCTTCTTTATCCATTCATCTGTTGATGGACATCTTGGCTCTTTCCATACTTTGGCTATTGTGAACATTGCTGCTATAAACATTGGGGTGCATGTACCCCTTTGGATCACTACACTTGTATCTTTGGGGAAAATACCCAGTAGTGCAATTGCTGGGTCATAGGGTAGCTCTATTTTCAACTTTTTGAGGAACCTCCACACTGTGTTCCAGAGTGGCTGCACCAGCTTGCACTCCCACCAACAGCGTAGAAGGTTCCCCTTAAGAAAAGATTCTTATGGGAGATTTTTTAAGTGACCTTTTCAACTATATTACACAAAAGGGAAAAACATTTTAACTATATTAAAAGAGCTCCTTCCAATGAAAGAAAGGAAAAAAGACAGAAAAAAACAAAACAAAAAAAATGACAAACACAACTGGGCAATAAATATTTGAAAAGTTGTTCTCTTTCAGTAATCACGGAAAGCAAATTAGGACCACAACATGAAACCATTTTACATCCATCAGATTAGGGGTAAAAAAAACTTTAATAAGTTGCCAAAAATGGGGCGCCTGGGTGGCTCAGTTGGTTAAGCGACTGCCTTTGGCTCAGGTCATGATCCTGGAGTCCGGGGATCAAGTCCCACATCGGGCTCCCTGCTCAGCAGGGAGTCTGCTTCTCCATCTGACCCTCTTCCCTCTCGTGCTCTCTATCTCTCATTCTCTCTCTCTCAAATAAATAAATAAAAAATCTTTAAAAAAAATAAATAAGTTGCCAGAAATGTGGATCAACTGAAATTCTCCTATACCTCTGAAAAGAAGTAGTACAACTACTTCGAGTACAGTACTGTTGACCTTTGAACAACGTGGGGGTTGGGGTGTGCACCCTGCCCACCTCCTATAGTCGAAAATCCGAATATAATTCTTCACTTTCCCCCAAAACTCAATTACTAATAATCTACTATTAACAGGAAGTCTTACCAGAAGCCATAAATGATTGACGCATATTTTATATATTATACATATTATATGCTGTATTCTTACAATATATAAGCCAGAAAAAAAAACAATACAAAGAAAGTCATGAGAAAATACATTTACAGTACTGTACTATATTTTTTTGAAAAAATCTGCAGAGAAGTGGACCCATGCGGTCCAAACCTGTTGTTCAAAGGTCAACTGTATTGGTTTTACTAGTAAAGCAGAAGATGCACACCCTATGTTCCAGCAATTCTGATATACCTTTGCGCAAGTGCGCCAACTAACAGGTACAAGAACATTCACAGCAGCCCTGTATGCAATAGAAAAGAACTGTAAACAATCAAAATGTCAGTCAATAACACAGCAAAACAGCTGAGTGAAAAGAATGAACTCCACCCACAGATGCCAACATGGATTAATCTCAAAAGCAAGCAAAAGAAACAAGTCAGAGGATATATAGATATACAGATATATATATACACACACACACACATACATACATACATATATATGGTACGATTCCGTTTATATAAAGGTCAAAAACCAGCAAAATTAAACATACCATTTAAGAATACCTACATGTGTGGTAAAACTATATAGAAAAGCTTAGGGTGCTTAACGAAAATTTCAAGATAGTGTTTATCTGTGGCTCCTCCAGAGAGTAGGATTTAACTGAGGAAGTACAAACTACTAACTGGCTAAATTCCATTTCTTAAACTGAATGTGAGGCCCACGTGAGTTCATTTAATTTCTCTGGAAATGATGATACATAATTAGCTATATATACTCTTCTCTATTGATTATGTATTACACAATACATTTTAAATGACTCAAAAAATATCCAAAAATTTGTTTTAAATTATCTTGTTCATCTTCATTTTTTTAAAGGCCACTGGTATGTAAAAGTGGTCTTTTAAGTATAAAATAATGACATTAGCATCTGATACGTTAAGGGCTGCTGTTAAAGGTATTCATGCGCCCTGCCCTTGATAATGCACATCAACTTGTTTTCCAAAGCAACGCTGAAGTGCGAAAGACGTCAAGGCTTTGCGCAAAAATACACTTTATTGACTTGCACCAGTACAACCATTCTTGTATACAACAAATGGCATGCACCCTGCATCTGCTAACGAAATTCCTTGAAATTTGTTTTCGTGACAACGAAATTAAAAGATAAATATATTCAGCTAAATATACAACAAACGGCATGCATCCTGCATCTGCTAACGAAATTCCTTGAAATTTGTTTTCGTGACAACGAAATTAAAAGACAAATATATTCAGCTAAATAAACACTCAGGGAGGCTATCATTTAATTATGGTATATCAGATTTCTATCTTAAATTGCAGCCTGAAGTCTCATAAAGGATTTTCTTTGCTTAAGGCAACTAGGAAATAAAATTGGGAGACTCTGGCTAGTACTCGAATTTGAATAGTGACAACTCCGCGGCTTTAGGCAAATTCACGGACTCAGTTTCGAAATAAAAAGTTATTTTTCCAATTTCCGCAGCAGTTGGCAGGTATTTTTATGAGTTCACTCTATAATATCCCTGGCAAGGTAGTACCAATCCCCGCAGATAGAGTCCCCAAATCAACAACCACATGAGCCAGCGACTTGATTCAAGAATCCACCCCCCCCCAATCTCCTTGAAACAGGTGATCTTCTATGCCTCCGTTGTCCTGGGGTGTGGGGAGCAACGGGGGAAAGTTCCCAGGAAGTTAAGACGAGTCCGTGAATCACATGGGTAAAACTTTGCTGGGATCTTACAAAACATTCGTGTCATCTAACCCCTTCGTTTTTTGATAGGGAAAGTGTATCTCAGGGAGAAGCGCACCTGCTTAGGATCTAACAGCTATTTAAATTGGTATCCTCACCTAGCTCAGTGATCCTCCCCACCCCACCCCCCATTCCCAAAAGCTTCAATTCGTTGCTAACACGGAGGAGGTGAAAAAACTCTCATATCCTTAGTGTGGCCACGTTGTGAGGGCTAGAAAGGGTCGTAGAGATAATCAGTACAACCTTCTTCTAACAGGTGTCAAACAGAAAGGTAAGTGACGCCGCTTGAGCGGTTAAATCACCGACCCTCTGCCACCAAGCAGCAGGAGCCTGACAAGGGTAATGAAAGATCACTGGCGATCCCACTTCCCGTCTCCAGGAGGGTGGGTGTCAAAAACACCCGATCCCTCCACTGCAGCACGAATCCCGCGCTTCCCACTCAGAACCGGGAAGCGGGGAGGTGGGGAAACTTGAACCGCTGGTGCGCAGCACCGAAAACACCGCGGCAGGGCAAGAACCGAGTTCCGCCTCTTTCTTCCGCATCCGTCGAAGGGGAGAAAGGGAAACAGTAAGGTTGAGGCGCCTCCCGCGAGAAGAGGTACCTGAGGCTCGCGCCGCAGTCCCTCGCCGCTACCGCACCGGAGCCCAACACCCTGCTTCCGGGATCAAGTCGGGCAGGGAGGCCTAAGATTGCGGGAGGCAGCCGCCTGCCCGCCCCAACCAAGCCCCGCCTCCACTTCCCACTCTGCGGAGGACCGGGCAACTTCCGGGACGCCGCGCGTCACTAAGCAGCCGATCCCCACTTCCGGAAGCCGTCCTCCCTGCGCTGTCCATTTCGGGGACGGCGCGATTGCGATCGCGATTTCCGCGCGTTTGATTGGTGGAGTGAGAGAGCTGGTCTCCGTTGATTGGTGTCGGCATCTTCAGCCCCATAGACGCCGCGGGGCGTAGAATTTCAGTAGTCTGTTTCCTGCCAGCGGCAGGTCTAGCACCGCAACCATGGTGGATGTCATGGAGTTGCCCAGGTCGCGCGTCAACGCCAGCATGCTAGCTCAGTTCATCGACCGGCCGGTCTGCTTCGTAGGGAGGCTGGAAAAGGTGCGCGCCGTCGCTGCCCTGGACTACCTGCTTTGTAGGCGGGGGGGGGGGCCCGCGACCGCCAAGGTGGCAGCCTCAGGGTGGTAAGGGAGGGTGGAGGAGGACAGTCCTTAGAGCATCACTGCGCTCCCAACTGCTTCGTTTTACACAAGGGGACGTTCTGCACACTTTTTAGCCACTGCAGCCCCATTTTGGCGCCACTTTTATGGCGCGGAGTCGTGACGTTTTCGAATGCGCTCCGTTCTAAATTCTAGCGTCCTCCACTCTGGTTCCTTTTTGTATTTACAAAAAGAAAATTATAGACCTGATTCACACATCTACCTCCTGATTTTTTAGTTTAGCCAGACTTGACAACTACTCTGTTTTTCTAGTTTCCTTCTCATGCATTTTTGGCTGTTCTCAAACTTCGTTTTCTCGTTAGAGTCAATTCGCCGTAAACATTCTTCGATTGTCCCTTTCAGATCTTATAGCCGTCTGTGTTCTTATGCCAGTGTTAGAGTGCAGCATCTTCACTCTACTGATGAGAAGCAGGCCCAAAGTTTCGGAGTCAGTGAACCGGGAAAGCTGAGGGGAGAAAAAACAAAAATCTATTATAAAGCCTTAGTTCATTTCAGCCACACAACTTCTTCGTTAAATAGGTGTTATTTGACTGCGGGGTAGGGAAACTGGGTAGGAGTGGTGTATGGTTAACTGCTCAAGGCCACAGCAACTAGGAAAGCTGACCTTCAAACCAGATCTGAGTGCACTCTTTACAGCTAACAGTAGTAGAACCCAAATCTTCTGACGACCAGTTCTCTTTACTTCATCATGCTTTTTTTTAAAGTAATCTCTACCCCCAATGTAGGGCTCAAACTCACAACCCTGAGGTCAAGAGTGGCACACGCCAGGACTGAGCCAACCAGGTGTCCCCATCAAGCTTAATTTTTAAAACATACCCTCTAGGGCGCCTGGGTGGCTCAGTTGGTTAAGCGACTGCCTTCGGCTCAGGTCATGATCTTGGAGTCCCGGGATCGAGTCCCCGCATCGGGCTCCGTGCTCGGCAGGGAGCCTGCTTCTCCCTCTGACCCTCTTCTCTCTCATTCTCTCTCTCAAATAAATAAAATCTTTAAAAATAAATAAATAAAACATACTCTCTAGTGGAATATGTACTATTTAAATCGTGAGTGCTAGTAGATCTCACTTTTAGACAGTATGGACCCCCTTTAATTTGTTGTTAGGGCAGGGTTGCCAGATTTAGCAAATGAAAATATAGGACATATTTGTACCAAAAAGTACTGTTTAATCTGAAATTCAAATTTAACAAAGTGTCATTTGACCAGATATGGTAACAAGATTATAATTTGAACAAAATTATTCAAAAACAATTGCTTTGTGTGCATTGACTAAGTGTGTTTGGGTCAATCTGCTCATCTTCAGTCAAACTTACAATATTTTTATTTTAATGAGATTTTAAAGTTTCTTTTGTTTATGTGGTTAGTTTTTTTTAATCTTGTGTTTCTTTTTTAGATTCATCCTACTGGAAAAATGTTTATTCTTTCAGATGGAGAAGGCAAAAATGGAACCATTGAGTTGATGGAGCCCGTATGTTTAAGTATTAATTCCATGTCTCTTGTAATTAATTCATCTTGCTGATGTTTCTGATTCTTGGAGTGGCTGTATAAAGGACCGGCTTATAACTTCCCTGCTCTAAAATTAAACTTTTGTCCTCTTTCTTACATTATATATCCCTTTACATTTCTACATTCTTTGGGCTCCATGATTTTTTATTTTTATTTTTTTTAAGATTTTATTTATTTATTTGACAGAGAGAGACACAGTGAGAGAGGGAACACAAGCAGGGGGAGTGGGAGAGGGAGAAGCAGGCTTCCCGCAGAGCAGGGAGCCGGATGTGGGGCTTGATCCCAGGACCCTGGGACCATGACCTGAGCCGAAGGCAGACGCTTAACGACTGAGCCACCCAGGCACCCCAGGGCTCCATGATTTTTTAATACATCCCTTAACTAGGTAACAATTTCTATTCCTATGAAAGACCATAAAATCACATTTAAAAAAAAAAATCTTTTAAGTCATCTTTTTCTTTCCTCTAAAGTTTTACATTTTTAAAATTCTATTTTCTGTTTTTATTTACATGTACTTTTAGTTATCACCTGTTTTTATATTTTACATTTATTGTACTCAAAAAAATTTTCTTGGTTTTTTTTTTAAGACAAGTCCATGTGCTGTTTGGTTAATATATACAGAATATACTGCACAAGATATAGAAAATAGAAGGCTCCTTTCATTGGGTCCTTATAGAAATGCTGGACATTCTCATTATCTTTAAGTGATTTTTGTTTTCAACTTAAACATTTTCCAAGTTATCAACTAGAAAGATGACAGCACCAAGTTGACAATTTGTTCTTTGTGTTAGCTTGAAGAAGAAATCTCTGGAATCGTGGAAGTAGTTGGAAGAGTAACGGCCAAGGCAACCATTATGTGTGCATCATTTGTCCAGTTTAAAGAAGATAACCATCCTTTTGGTAAATAAAACATTCTAGTATTAAGTAGTTTCATGTAATTAGGAGGAAAATGATTTTCTTCTTCTTAACTTGAGATGTCTTGGTCTTGAGTCTCAGTCCTGCCACCTTTCAATTTCTATAAAATTTTCTGATCCCAAAGGAAAATGGGAGAACATTTTGGCCCGCTTTCAAGTAATGATTGTATATGTAGGAAACTCAGTAAAAATTAGTATTTGTGGGAAGAGAAACTTAAAACATATGGCAAACAAATAATAGTTTTTTTAACATATGCATTGAAAGCATCATATAATGTATAACACCTAAAACCAAGCAAGGACTGCCTGTACAATGGATATCAAATGAATAGTTGCCTATACTCCACATCTTTTATTTTTTAGAGCCACTAGGTAAATAGCTATGATGGTCCCTGTTTTAGAAGACAGGTGGTAAAAAGTTGATCTCTAAAAGGGAAAGAAAAGAGAAAGAGGTAGAAATCTTTTAGATAATAAATGATGTTACATCTTTCTATTGTAGATTAAATGTTTGCTAAAATGTTGTTTTTCAGATCTTGGACTATACAATGAAGCTGTGAAAATTACCCATGAGTTCCCTCAGTTTTTTCCTTTGGGGGTTGTGCAATATGATTGATCTCGATGAGCACATTGAAGACTGTCATAGGAAGCCCCTGATATTTGAGGGGGAGATTTCTGTGATTTTTCATATTTAATTTGTTCTCCTTTTAATTTCATTTACCTAACCTTATTAGATATTACAGTATCCCACTTTTGATGGAACCTGTCTGTATACTGAAAGTTAAGTGCTTATAAAGAGAACCCTTCTGTATATGGTCAGATCAGATGCAAGAACAAAGCAGTTGCCTTGAGTTTAGTTTTCTCCTTTATTAATAAAGGCCAAAATGGGACATACTGTTGATCATTTCATTCTTATTCTTTTAGTCATGTATTCAGACACAAACTTGGAATCTTCAGAGCTGTAAGGTCAGAACTTAGACCTACCAAATGAAATCCAGGGCCACATGTATAAAGAATTTACTTGCTACCTCATAAGCTACATTATGTTAATTATTTCCTTGATACTCTGAAAAAAATGATTTTATTAAAAAAGCAAACAGAATCCTTTATCTTTTACAATTTGTGAGTACCTATATTAGAATTCTCCAGAGAATCAGAACCAAAAGAACCATATATAGCAGAACTATATATAAGATTTTGTTACAGGAATTGGCTTATGTGGTTAGGGAAGCCAAGGAGTCCCCAGGATCACTCATCTGTAAGCCAGAGAACCAGGAAAATCAGTGGGATAATACAGTTCGAGTCGGGGGAGCTGATGTAACTTGTAGTCCAAGGTTGAAGACCTGAAGACTGGGAGGCCACTGGTGTAAATCCCAGAGTCTGAAGGCCCAAGAACCAGGAGCTCCAATGTCTGAGGACTGGAGGAGGTGGACCTCCCAGATCTGGAAGAGAGCAAATTCCTCCACCTTTTTGTTCTGTTTGGGCTTTCAACATATTGGATGATACCCACCTATTTTGTAGGGGCCTACTGATTCAGAAACGAATCTCTTCTGGAAATTCCCTCACAGACACACCCAGAAATAATGTTTTACTGGCTATCTGGTCTTCCCTTAGCTCAGTCAAGTTGACATATAAAATTAGTCATCACAGTACCTCTTTCTCAGGATTTTGAAACCACATTTACTAATGCCAAATAAGGGATTTCTTCTAATCATTAGAATAGTTGATGAAATCATTTGATTTTTTTCTTTTTTTTTTTTTAAAGATTTCGTTTATTTATTTGAGAGAGAATGAGAAAAAGAGCATGAGAGGGGTGAGGGGCAGAGGGAGAAGCAGACTCCCAGCTGAGCAGGGAGACTCAATCCCGGGACTCCAGGATCATGATCTGAGCCGAAGGCAGTCTCTTAACCAACTGAGCCACCCAGGCGCCCTTTTTTTCTTCCTTTTAACTGTCATTCTTAGTATGAAATTCCTGTACTTGTACTTCATACCACTAAGTAATTAATGCTGGGGATGGGCAGGTAGGGGATGTGACAAGTGTAGGATAGAGGGTAAAGCAGAATAACTGGTGACTTATATAGCCAGTCGAGTATTATGGCTTAACTCATTCTCTTCAGTTAGGAAATAAACTAGGGCGCCTGGGTGGCTCAGTTGGTTACGCGACTGCCTTCGGCTCAGGTCATTATCCTGGAGTCCCGGGATCGAGTCCCACATCGGGCTCCCTGCTCAGCAGGGAGTCTGCTTCTCCCTCTGACCCTCCCCCCTCTCATGTGCTCTCTCTCTCATTCTAGCTCTCTCAAATAAATAAATAAAAAATCTTTAAAAAAAAAAAAAGGAAATAAACTAATTCTAAATCCATTTAGATTGTAAATTATAACAAAAATATTTATTTTATGGACACCTGGCTGGTTCAGTTGATAGAGCATGTGACTCTTGATCTTGGGGTTGTAAATTCAAGCCCCATGTTGGGTGTACAAAATTTGAAATTGATAATATCCTCAATTTCAACTTTTATCCCAAAACATTCTACAAATTACGTAAAGAACATTGCAACAGCCACTTACGGTAAAACATACAAAGACCATTATAGTTGAGATTTAGGTTTAGGAGGAACATCAGCCAGTCTCAACAGTGTTGTCTTGAATGCCAGAGAAAGAGTCCGTCCTCAGTTGCGTTAACCTCTGACAATTCTGTGCTATTAAAATGTTAAAGGTGTCCTGCTTAAAACCTTCCCTTGAACTACTTTGTTTAATAAATTGGACTAAATGAATAGGCTATCTTGCTTCCCATCAATTTCTATTATATTTCTACTAATAATTTATGGTGCCATATCTCCAGTCCCAACCTCACTTCTGAGCTGCTCAATGTCTGCACCTGGGTATCCCACCAACACCTGAGTTTCAACGAGTGTAGCTTGAATGTGTGCAGCCCCCCATGTGTTCCCTGATTCGGTAATAATTTTATCAGGATATAATTCACATATATGATTCACCTATTTCAACTGTACAATTCAGTTGCTATTAGGTATATTGAGTTGTATACTATCACTATAATCAATTTTAGAACACATTCATCACCCCAGAAGAAAGCCTGTACCTTTTACCGATCATGGCCCAATCCCTCTACCACCACAACCACCCCCTAACCCCAAGAAACGGCTGATCTACCTTCTGTCTACAGATTTGCCTATTCTAGATATTTCAAAGAAATGGAGTTATATGTGATCTTTTGTGACTGACTTCTTTCACTTAGCATGTTTTCAAGATTCATCTGTTTGTAACATATATCAGTGCTTCATCAACCTTTTTATGGCCAAATATTCCACTGTATGGATATACCACTTTTTATCCATTCATCATTCAGAAATTTGGGTGGTTTCCACCATTTGGGTATAATGAATAATGCTATTATGAGCATTCTGTGTTACGTTTTTGTGTGTACATATTTTTTATTTCTCTTGGATATATACCTATAAGTGGAACTGCTGCACCAAATGGTAAATGTGCTTAAGTTTTTGAGGAACTGCCAAACATTTCCTAAGTGGCTGTACCATTTTACATTCCTAGCAGCAGTGTTTAAGGATTCTAATTTCTCCACATCCTCACCAACACTTCATTATATAATCTGACTTTTTGATTCTGCCATCCCACTGGGTGTGAAATGGTATCTCATTGTGGTTCTGACTTTTTCCTCTAAAGCTACCATAAGCCACCCCATTGCCCAGAAAAGCTTGAGGATCTCCAGTCCTTTTCACCGCCACTGGCCCTGCAAGTTCAGACAGTTGTCCTCTCTCACTTGAACTATTACAACAGCCCTAACTGTAAATGGCCTTCCAGTTTCCAGGCTCTCTGGGTTTCCCAGCCAATACAGCTGAAATTAACATCAGTTCTAACCATCATACTATAAAGTTCACAGAAAAGAGAAGGCTGGAAAGGGGAAAACTTCCTGGCAAGCTTAGAGTTGGGAACCCTGGCCACTGCTACCTTAATGAAGTGATCAAGGTTAGTATCAGCAGTGATGACAGGCAGAGATCATGTGCCCTCTAATGTGATAAAAAAGATACTTTGCCACTCTGGTATTTTTTCAAAAACCCTTAACACCAGCTAATCATGAGAAAATATCAGACCCAAATTGAAGGACACTCTACAAACTTACCTGATCACCCCTCAAACTGTCAAGGTCACGAAAAACAAGAAAAGAGAAACTCACAGAGAAGACTAAGCCTGGATTGGCTCCTGGAACAGAAAAAGACAAAGGAAAAACTGGTGAAATCTGAATAAAGGCTGGAGTTAACAGTAATATACTAGGGTTGGTTTCTTAGTTTTGACAAATGTACCATGATAAGGTAAGAGCATAAAGGCAGACAAACTCTGGGGGAGGGGTTACACAAGAACTCTACTATCTCACAACTTTTCTGTAAATCTAAAATTTCCCCACAATAAAAAGTGCATTAAAAAAAATGAACCTCCTCAGGTTCCCCAATAAAAAGTGCATTTCAAAAATAATGAACCACTGACTACATGAGGTCCACATTTCCAATTAGTAGTTGCCCTTCACAATCTGACTACATCTCACCTCAGACCAAATCCTACTCTCCCCTTGAAACTACCATCCATCCAGTACTGATCTGCTGTTACTGGAACGCACTAGACCCTCTAAGATCTGGGTGCCATGGAACTTGCTCTTTGCTCTGACTAGAATGTCCAGAAAGAAAAACATTCTCTAAGCTTCCCTAACAGGCAAGCAGAGTTAATGTAATGTTATATAAATTTATCTGAAAATTAAAAAGATTATGAGCAAGTTAAGTGTGATAAGAGGTATAAAGATGGGAATATAACGTAAAGTAACTTAATTATATTTATATAGTATAAATACATATTTTATATGTATACACACACACACATATATAGTAGTCCCCCACTCTTATCCATGGGGACTATGTTCCAAGACCTCCAGTGAAGATGCCTCACATAGTACCAAACCCTAACTATACTGTTTTTTCCTATACATACATACACACATACCTATGACAATGTTTAATTTATAAAGTAGGCTCTGTAAGAGTTTAACAACAATAACTAATAATAAATTAGAACAATTAGAATATACTGTAATGAAAGTTACATGAACATGGTCTCTTTCAAAATATCTTATTGTACTGTACTCACCCTTCTCGTGATGATGTGGTGAGATGAAATGAGGTGAATAACATAGGCATTGTGATATAGCCTTCAGCTACTATTGACCTGAGGATATATCAAAGGAGAATCATCTGCTTCTGGACTGCAGGTGACTGAAAGTACAGAAAACAAAGTGGATAAGGGGGGGGACTACTGCATATATATTTAAACACTTCAAGAATCAGTAAAGTTCCATTGTCTCTCCAAAGACACTGCTATGGATTGGTAGATAACTTTCCAGAACTTTGACTATATAAATGTCTATGGGACCTCAGTATACTGTTCTGCAACATGCATTTCTCCTTTAATATGTCTTGGCAATTGACATATAGAACTATCTCATCCTTTTTAATGATTGCAAAATGTCCACTGTGCCAAGTGTTTATTTAACCAGTCTTCTAGTTAGTCTTCCCCACTAAGGAGAGGTGTTTATAGTGAAAAACCTGTAGCTAAAAAATCTGTCTTACTGGTATCTCTCAATGCCTAACATAGTGTATGAATAAATTAGTCCATCCAGCCTGCTTTGAGAAGCAAGGAGGCCAAGGAGAGAGCTAATGAAGACCTAAATCCTAATAGGTGAGGTGACAAAGGACAGGAGACAAGAAGTTCAGAACATATTATAATGGATTCCATGGGACTTCAGTGCTAGGAACTGAACAGAATGAGAGGCAAGGATAAGGTCAGTTGGCAAGGAGGCTAAAAGTTCACTTCAATACAAATTTAAGTAGTTGATAGGCCCTTTTAGTGAAGATGTCGAGAAGGTATTTGGAAATGTAGGATCAGATAGAGATTTACGAGACAACCTGCCTAAAATATCTAGAGTTTAAGAGATCTTTCCATTCCTTATCTGTGATTTCAAAATCTAAAATGGTTTGAAACACAGCTTTTCCCTAAATTTCGGACAAAATTCATTTGGCACCAAAACCAGTAAGAATTGTAGTGAGGCTCCTTGTAGTCTTTAACTCACTTATTGTAAATACAAGCTTCACTGCAGAAATATTAGTATGTTTGATTAGAGGGTGCTGTCCTCTGGGGAGGGTGTTACATAACATCAAACGGCAGATGCATCCTATGACTTTTTCTAAAATCCAAAAATTCTGAATTCTGAAGCACATCTGGGGCCAGATGTGGTAAGTAAGGGACTGTTCCTAAATCAAAGGACAGCATACAAAGTGAGAAAACCACATAACTAATGACACAAGCGAAGTGTTCACTTATGGAACAGCACCATGAGATGACTGAGTCAGGAGAAGGACCCCAATGATGCCTGACGCTTAGTATGCACTCAAATATTTACTCCCTGAAAGAGTATCATGAAAGGCAAGGTAGTAACATTTCAAAGAGTAATCAAGAATGTTCAAAACTCAATGAACAAGGGAAGATAAGGATTAAGGATAAAATACTGAGGGTTTCCTGGGTGGCTCAGTCGGTTGAGCGCCCCACTCTTGGTTTCTGCTGGGGTCCTGATCTCTGGGTCGTGGGGTCGAGCCCCACCTTCCACCTCGGCACTCAGTGTGGAGTCTGCTTCTCCTCCCCCAAGACCCCTCCCCCAGCTCCCATGTGAGCTCTCTCTCTCTCAAATAAATCTTTTTTTTTTTAAAGATAAAACACTGATATTACAAACATATATCACACTTATTTCCATAAAGATTTAGGATACAAAAATAAAAAGGGAAACATCAAAAAAGGACATAACAACTACAAATGCACTCAACAGGAAATACTAGTAGGTGTTAAATTTAGCTCCAGGTGTTCAGAGAACCTAGGAAAAGGAAGGAGGCCATACAATTTTCATAGCCTTAAATTCTTTATGATAATCAAACTTTTCCCTAATATTAAGTTCTAAAAGGAATATCACACAGAATCTAATGTGAAGGATGACAAACTACAAAATGGTTTTCTTCGTAGTCATTTTACAGATATTCTCCAAATGATCTTTTTTTCCTTATCTGACAAAGGCAAAATTAAAACAACTCTAAAAGCATCTCTTCATAGGGTGAGTTAAATGGTTTGAGTGATAAACTAGTATAATTACTAAATTCATAGAATTCTGAAGTTGTCTTTTAAGGTATTCCTTTAATCTGTATTAATACTCAATAAACATTTTGTGTCAAATCCTGAGCTAGAGATACATATAAATAATGTCCCTACCCTCTGAAATTTCAATCTGTAGCAGTTTAGCATAATCTCTAAAGGTGTCTGGCTCAGAGCTGTTTAATATTTAACTGGCCTAAGGATTCAAAGAGATCTATGATTATGAACAACCAAATTCTGTACGTTCTGTTTGGTGAAACTACAATTTGGTTTCCTCCCTTATATAATTCACGTGGAATTTGATTCTGATCTGTCGCTGAAAGAAAATTAATAACCTGATACCACAGGTTATCCTTCTTAAGAAGATGATGCTAAATCCAGAGTAATAATAAATGCATATGTTTTAAGTTACTTTTTAATTGTGATGTTGGTTTGAGGTAAGCCACTTATGTTCTTTATGACCCCATTTGACCTAGAGTATAGGATCTGAGATGGCTAATTAAGACCAGAGGTGTACACTATGAACAATTTATAGTGTAATACATTCATCTTGACTGCCAAGATTAAATTTGTCATTAGCATGCCATTGTTTCTTCTTTACATAACACAAAAGGCCAGAAGCAGAGCACTATGTTCTGTAGCATTTCCTCTTTTTTTTTTTTTTTAAAAAGATCTGGACTGAAATATAGTGGCTTTTACATATGAAAAAAATTTTTCAACATGATTATATCTATAGGTGGGGAGTTCAATAACAACAATCTCTGTGGATTTCATACGACGCATTATTTAAGATGCAAAGTTGAGAAAATCTGAGACAGTTCTCAGTGAGTGTCATAAGTTGAAAGAAAGGAAAATATATGAGCAGTAAGTGTAACAGTTCTGGCAAGACCACACATGACATTGTGACTTAATTAGCCTCCGTTTTAAAGAGACTGTTCATTTTTCACAGGAGTTTGAAATACTACCCAGGAAAATAAGCCAATTATTTTGGCTAAGAATCTCTCACCATAAAATGTTATAATAAAGTATCTGTTCATGTCTTCTGCCAATATAAAGTTTATTTAATAGGCTTAAATGAATGGTTTCATTGAAAGATCTTGGTATCTTGTCACTCTAAATCTTGAAAGATAATCAGCAAGGAGAAATTCTTCTATTGAATAATTACTGATTTAAATGCTAGGCCCTTTAATATTTTTAGCTTAGATATTTATTTAAGAACTAAATATTATTTATGCCTTAATATTTACTTTCATTAACTCAACTCCACTTAATACATAATGACCATTTAAAGTCAAATTGTATCAAATAAATTTAGCATAACCATAAGAAAATCAAAATCAGTGTCACATTTCACTTAAAGATCTTAATATTTTTCTGTAGCTTTTGAGAAGCTCTAAGTATTGGGCAGACATTGGGCTTGATGAGAGAATACCTCTTTAAGAGATAAGTTATTCTTTAACAGTGATCAGGGTCCCACTGAGTCAGTTATTTCTTTCATATGGCTCAGAAATGTTATGCCTTAGTTAGTTATGTATTTGACCTTTTATGAGAGGCAGACAGTGGACCAGGGGCCGCCTCATTTTGGAATCTCCTCAGAAATGACTAAATGTTTTCCAGATGAACATACTGTGGACCAAGGGAGGAGCTAGGCATTAGAAATCATTGCTTCCAAACCAGGGGAATTTGTAGACTTTTTCTTTTGGAACCTGGTGACCTAAAGGAATTGACCCACTGAGCAATTTCCTTCACTCTCAGCAGTATGATTAAGTCACGAAAACAACTCAGGATGAGATACGATATTTATTTCTATCTCACTTGTTTCTAAAAAAAGAATTTAAGACAGCTGCAAAGGCTTCTATCCTTTCCCTGTTTTCTCCTCATAAATTTATACAATGTGACTTTTCCAAATGTGAACTTGAGTTACTAGTGGAGGTAGCATGGGACAGACAATTGATTACTGTCATATGTCACAGGAACATTAATCTGCTAAAACTGGCACTAATATCCTGCTTTAGCCCTACTTAAGGAAAACTTAAAAATAACATTCCAAGATGAATAAAATATCCTATGTTGCTTTTATTCCTTTAGCTTTTAACTTATAACTTAAAATTATTTGAGATACAAATTTAATAACATTTTAAGCAATACAGAGAATATACATTATCAGTACATATGACTCAAAACCTATACCTAAGAAAGCTTAAACAAAAATAACACTTCCTGTTTAATCTGATTCACAGTTAATTCTTTCAGCACTTAAAGGAAGAACAGGCCAAAAAGAAAAAGAAAAAAAAAAGAGCCAAAGAAACATTTGTAAATTTCATCTACAACTGGTAAAAGACACCAGTTACATATACATTGACGATTTCTTGATCAAAAGCCTGGAAAGGATTATACAGCACCATGTGCACTAGGTATGACTCCCTAAACTGCCTAGAATACATGACATTTGGCTTCTGTAGTTTTAAAAATAGGATCTAGACATAAGTCATCTGATAAATTATCTCACTGGAAATGAAGTTAGGAAACTGCAGGAATTTGGGGAAATAAAATATTAAAGACAGCCATTTGCAATGAACACTGAGGGATTTATCTAAAGTACATTTCAGAAATGAATGATTTGGATTGATGCATTTGAACTTCAAAAATATTTATGAGTTAAAATCATGAAGTCAATGACATTTAGAAACAGTCATACTGCCTTCCCTGTTTTCAACAGATTCTAAATCTAGCTACATGTGTCCTGTGATCACAATATCTGGTTACAAATAGCAATAACTGTTGCAAAGCAAATTACATGGTGGCACAAGAAAACATTCCCCCTTCCAACAGAGGGGAGAGTGGATTACCTCACTCATATAGCCTGCAGGTTATATAATGAAGATTACAGACTTTAAAATGAAAAAGGAATGTATGCTAAAATAGAAAAATGATTTCATGAAAAATAAAAAGGTTGCTTTGTTTAGGGAAAAACTTCAAAAGTGCTGATGAGAAACTTTAGATACACATATTTAAGTGTTTATGAGCTATGGAAACTTGTTA